AACTGTGGGCTGGCACACAGGACTGGACAGGGCCCTTCATCTATTCACATGAAATAGAGCTTGATTTGAAACTATATCCAGAAAGTTAGCGCTTACAATTCTGTCTCTGAGCAGTTCTGATGCTCGTTCATTACATACCTATTATACACAAGGCCAGTGTGATTCCTGCTGTCAGGAAATAAAAGATACAGTAACACATTAGCAAGGTGGCATCTCTTCTCTCCTTTTAGTTCAAGTCTGTGAGATCTGTAAAATATTGCTCATTTTCATTTGGATAGGGTTATTGTTGTTGTTGTTGTATAGAAATGGCTCCTGGCATAGAGGTCAAGAGAGAAAGATTCTGTAAACTGAAATACTGAATAACATAAGGTATATTCTAAACATTTCGATGGAGAAAGGGTGATTAGAACTGTAATATTTCAAACATTTTAAAATATGTACCAAGTACATCACTTGGACCCCAAATGATAATGTGCAAAGCCTCTAGGGGTGCTTAGCAGGAAAGAGAAAGATGAGGCTAAGCTGTGGAGTGGGTTTGGGGAGATGAACAAAGGGTCCAGCCCAGAGTCAGGAGGAAAGTGCCCGAGAGTCATTTGAAAACTCACAGGAAAAGAACAGAATTCTTTCACACCAGGATATAGGGCTCTGCAGGACAGAAGAGGGTCCAGCTACTGCTTCTCATCCATAACATCACAGGCCAGCATGTCAATCTCCTGCGCACACACACACACCATCCCCCTCCTGTATTTCTGCTTGCTTTTTGATTCCAGGACCTTCTATGAAAGGAAGAAGAAGGAAAAAAAGACCTGAATTATCAATTAGTAATAGCAGTAATTGAAACAAGTGCCTGTGGTGTTGGAAAACAGCAGGCAATTGGAGTAACTAGGATTGCTGCACCGATGTCGCATGGACTTGTTGGAAGGCCATACAGTGGTAGCGTTGGGAACTGGACCTAGGGCCCCCAGCAGGCTGGGCAAGCATGCTACACCAGCAGTGAAAGCCGTGGTTACTAGTGAGGAAAAGCTGAGAGGAAGGCTTTTAGGAAGGCTGAGAGATTGGAGGGCAGAAGGTCACTGCATGTGTGAAACAGATGTAGCAAGGACTGAAGATGAATTGCAAACTGGCCAGCTTTGCCAGGGATGGAAGTTGGGACACAGGGAAGCTACTGTGAGACGACAGGGGCATTTGAATCAAGCATTATCGTTGTAAAGGAGCAGTTTATGTATCAACTGACCATGGTCAACTTCTTATCATGAAAGGCCATCATTCCTAGGGGCATGCTCACATGGCTTTCATTCCATCAGGATCTATGAAAGAACATTCGGCCTATGGGTGAGAACGGGCTGTGTCGATGCCACACTTCAGGGGGATGTGTGTTGTACCTACCTCCTCACAGCCTGAAGTATCCTGCACTCTTCTGTTCCCCTCCACTGCATCCCACCAGAAGATAAGCAACTCTGCTTTAAGCACTTACTGTCCCAGTAAGCAGCAGATTCACTACCAACATGCTCAGGAATCAGTATGGTTAAATCAGCTGCCTGCTAATAAATAAATAGCAGGCAACCAAGTGTACGGGTTTCATTATGGATTATTTTGTTGATTGGTGGCAGAGTGCGGATTGAGCCTAGGGTCTCATGAATACCAGCAGGCACTTCACCACTGAGGTATATCCTCTGCCCCATGTGGAAATGGTCATGTCAGAAAGTTCAAGGCCTGTCTTCTCATCAGAAGTAAGGCATTCTCAGTCCAGGCCTTAGCCTCTCACTACTGTCCCCCACTCGTCCTTTATACCAGTCAAATTGTTGCCTATGCTTGATTTCAAGTAGCAGAAAACCCGCTGTAGTGTGGCTTCAACTAGAGCAACACTCATTTCCTCGTAGATGATCACAGCAGTAACCGGGTCAGCAGCTAAATAACGGCGTGAGTGGCGTGGTCTCCTCTCTGCTGTGGATCTCTAATGTAGTGTAGTTCACAGGCAGCAGCTGTGGTGCTTTGCCATGTCTTCAAGTGGGCCTGGCAGGAAGTGTGTGTGTGTACATGTGTATATGTACACATGTGTGTATGTGTTGCTTTGTGCATACGTGTGTGCTGAGGGTTGGTGAGGATAATGCATCCCAAGTCGTGGAAAGCTCCTCCACCGAGGAAACTCTTTCTCGGTGGCCTCCTGACACTCTCTCTGACATCTCAGGTCACATCTCTAGACCAGTTGATGGTAAGGCCAAATGGAAAGACCATGCTTAGTTCCACCACCCATAATTCATCTGGCTTCTGTCAAGGGGAACAAGAGGGAGTGAACATTGGGCAGGGACCTAGAAGAGTCTGTCATGCCACTCCCAGTCCCGCCGTGGACAGCAACAATCAACTATGTGGTCCAATCAGACCTCCAAGAGTTAACCTTCCTCCCAGAATTATAATCTGGCCATTTATACCAACTTACTGAATTTTAGTTTAGGTTTTCTTTTTTTTTTTTTAATTATAAACTCAAGGAGGAGCCTAAAATATATGGGCCTTTCCCAGAATTATAGGGCTTTGGTGAGTCATGTTCCTTCTCAGGTCTGTCTTCTCATTACTTCACTCTGGAACATTTTATGAGTTGCAGTTTACAAGATCCATGTTTTCTTCCGTTTAGTTCATGTGTAGGAGGATAATGGTTCTTAGGATTATATCACACTTCCCTAATAGGAATTAAAGTACATCTGCTGTGAGGAATATGTCAAGGGGTTTAGCACATGTGTCAAGTTATGCCAAAAATTATGAGGGACTGTTTTCTGACTCGGGGAACACGTTCATCCCCCTGTATGAACTCAGCAGTGTCTATTTTACCCATGAGAATGACTCTGTTGAGCTTTTTGGTAGATGAGCCTAGTGCTCGAGAACATGCATTCCAGCCACACCTCAGCACATTCAAGAAAGAAGGCAGGAGCTCCTCTGCTTTCTGAATGGCAGTGCCCCTTAGCATGCCTCCGTCTGCCAGAGCAGGCGGCTGCCCTTCTCCACCTACAGAAATATGTTCCTGTGAGTGAGACTACTAGCCAGATGGTTCAAAATTAGATAAACTCCCCAGATGCCATGCTCCTAATTAAATATTCCTGGAATTTCACAGTATGTGTTTCTGCGAAATAAATCAGGATTTTCGCGACATTTCTGTCAAGAATTAGTCTATTTTGAAATGTCTCCTTTGGGGTTGGTATGAGGGTTGTCTGTGTCAGTGTGAGCAAAGGCACTTCCCTGCAGACAGCCTGACAAAACTTGCTCCTCTCTGGCCAAAGCAATTAGCCTGTTTTCTACCTCTCTGATAGTCATTATAAGTGTCCTTGGAATTTCAAAGATATGACCCAGGGTTCCCGAAGAGGTTATTAGAGAGGGCTCTTCTTTTGCCTTGACATCTTTTTAGTACTTAATTCTCAAAAGTCTCCTAGCAGACTGACTGGACTGTGCGCAGTCTACAGGAGAGAACTAATGTGAACTCTAGTGAAGCTACTTGTCACATGGGGATTTGTTTCTCTTGCATCTTTCAAAGTTCTTTATGTAAAATAAACAACAGACCAGAAAGGACATGCACACAGTCCAAGGTGAAAACCAGTGTCCAAAAAGTTCTTCTACTAGACCTGTGCTTGCTTGGACTAGTGTTAGAACTAGCACACGTGTGTGTACATGTGTGTGTTGAGGGTGGGTGTCAGAGGAAGGAAGGAGACAAAGGTATTGATGTAAAATGTCTTCCCAGTCCTTCAGTCTCCCTTCTCCTGGTTGTGTGTGTTCTGTGTTGTGCCTTTGTTTTGTCAACTTGACACAAGCTAGCATTATCTGGAGAGAGGAACATTAAATGAGAAAATGCCTCTCAGATTGGCTTGTAGGCAAGTCTGATGAGCAATTTCTTAATTCATGATTGATGTGGAAGGGCCTTGTCCTCTGGAGGTAGTGCCAATCCTCTGAGGTCCTGGATGGTATGAGAAAGCAGGCTGAGCCAGTAAGTCCTGGGGGAAACAAGCCAATAAGAGCAACCCTCAGTTCCTATCTCCAGGTTCCTGCTTTGGATTCTTTCAATGATGGACTGCGACCTGAAAATAAGGCTTTCCTCCCCACATGGCCTTTGTCACAGCACCAGAAACCTAACTAGAGCAGAAATCAGCAGCACTGTTTTGGGTGCTGCTGTGACAGACCTGACAGTGCTGGCTTGGACAGGATTGTGGAATGAATAGCCACTGAGTGAAGAGCTTAATAAGCTGGTATCAGAACTTGAAAAAGAATGCTGAACCTTGTGGGCGATGAAGGCCTTGCTTGTGGATTTCTGAGGGAAACTTGTGGATCCCAAAGACTCTTACCAGTCCATTCATGCGGTGGACTTTGAATTGAGTCTGTGGGGTCTGGTCAGCTGGTACTGAAGAATCAGCTGTGATCAGTAAGAGACCTGTACACTGACACAAAACCTTTACTTCACTGGGATGGTTGATGCTAGTCACTGGGACTGAGAACTGGGCTTGGATTCAGGGAGGTGAAGCCTCCTGAGAATGTGTCCCCAGTGTCAGCACACAGAAGCTGTGGGCCAGAGAGGAGGAGAGGGTACGGCTGGCTGCGTTTCATACCAGCAAACTGGACTTGGGCATATGTACAAGTCTCCCAGGTGGTACTAGTTTTGTAGGTATAGGAGTCCTGGGAGGCAGCTGTGGCTTGGCACTGTGAGAGGCCAGGAGAGGCCATCGGTGAGGGTGCAACTTCAGTGGCAGTGGAGACGGAGTGGTTGAAGGGATGGAGGAGAGCGCTCAGAGCACTTCTGCAACAGAACTCTAAAGCTGAACACAGCTCGGCCCCGCTCTTTTCTTTTTAAAAAATTAATTTTCCTTCCCAACCAAATGGATGTTGAATGTGATAAAGTTTCTTTCCAGACCCAGCTTCTTATGAGCTGAGGGTACCATCCCTCAGGACTTGGAGAAACAGTTTTATCCATCACACAGCACCTGGTACTCACAGGAGACTGATCGTGTTTCAACTCTTCTTTTCAGATAACAATTGAAAGAGACAGTAATGAAGACTTGAGTGACCCTAAACATGGCAAGGAGGACCCAGACAACATGCCCCATGTGGGCGGCAGTACCTGGGCTGGTGGAACAGGTTGGTAGCATGTCAGTTCTCCTGTTCTTGGCAAATTTTCTTAAATGTAAAGGCCAGCATTCCAGCCCTGAGATAGTCTCAGTGCTGGTTGTCCTCAGCCTCTGTCACTCTGCAGATGTGCTCTCTCCCTCTGCCCCTGCACAGCATCAAGGCATGCAGAACACCAGGCACTGGGAACCCCACAGACTCTGCCACCCTGTGACCTAAAGCCGTTTCCCCCTCGATTGTAGTTGCTTCATCTGTAAAGGATGGAGGTAACGTTATCTGTCTCATGAGGTCAGGCTAAAGATTAAATATGAACCTAGAGCACAGATCATAATGGTTGGGCTAAGGAACATGGTCACTGGAGTGTCAGTCTCTTCTTTTCAATTCCTTGCCTTTGGGATTGTGCCAGAAATCCACAGCAAGCTCTTGAACAACTAACGTGGGGAAGAAATGCTCTTGTCCACATCTGAGAAGGGAGTGTGTGGAGGCCCGTGGCTTGGAGATAAGGTTGCTGTGATTTGCACTGATGGCCGGGTGCCATTCCTTCCTCTTGGCTGCCCTCCGAGACCATTGTTCCCAAGCCTGCCGTCTTCCTTTTTCCTCTCGGCAGCTGCAGCAGACACATGTGCTGGACCACAGGAACAAGGCCAGACTGCGCACTGTCTGGCTATCTCGCCAGGAGAAGTGCTGGCACAGCTCAGGCCTTCACCTTCCCCGAGGATGCTCTGTGCCTCTTGGCCTTGAGGACCTTGGCAGGAAATGGGTTTCTGTGCTGAGACAATATGCTATCAAATAAGCCTGGGACTTGCCTACTCTGTTTATTCATCAAGCATCGGCTTTAAAGAAGGGCTATTTTTAGAAGTGTCCTTTGATCTGGAAGTTAGTGTCAAGCCAACAATATTTAATCCATATGGAATGCATCGTGGAACGAGCTGGCCAGATGTCAGCTTCCCAGTGGTGCCTACGCAGAGGCAAGGTTTCATTTGTTAATAAACGTGAGTCTACTAGTTCCAGCACCTATTCAGACCAAACGTCCTGTCTGCTTCCCGGTCTTGGATCTTTCAGCTGATCAAGCTCCTGGGCTTCAACTTGTCTCTTTCTGTCTGTCATTTGTGCCCTACGGAATGCTCTACATTAAACCCAGCTCTGGGCCAAGAAGTCATTTGTTTCTTTTCCATCATCACGGTCCTTTCTCCCCTCTGTGCTCCTACCTCTTTCTTGCCCCTGTGCTCCCACTCCTTTCTTGCCCCTGTGCTCCCACCTCTTTCTTCCCCCTGTGCTCCCACCCCTTTCTTGCCCCTGTGCTCCCACCTCTTTCTTCCCCCTGTGCTCCCACCCCTTTCTTGCCCCTGTGCTCCTACCTCTTTCTTGCCCCTGTGCTCCCACTCCTTTCTTGCCCCTGTGCTCCCACCTCTTTCTTCCCCCTGTGCTCCCACCCCTTTCTTGCCCCTATGCTCCCACCTCTTTCTTCCCCCTGTGCTCCCACCCCTTTCTTATGGACTGGTTGATATGAGTCCAAGTTCATCTGTAGGCATATTTTTCTTTCTTTTAAATAGCATGAATTTCAAACTGTAGAGTGGAGAGAAGTCTTTCCTTATAAGTGTATAGAGTGGAGAGAAGAAATCTTTCCTTATGACCGGTCCATCGTGACCGATTCTGACCACACCCACACGGTCTCTAACAGTTGCAGATCCTCCTTTGATCAAAGTGACGACCTCAGGGTGCATGAGGAGCTTTATACTCAGTCCTATGGAGTAGGTCAAGTGGCAGCTCCCCGCTCAGCGCCTTGTCACTGCGACCAGTACAACTCCACCACACACCTGCTGGAAGTGAAACCGGGAAGCACACAGTGTAGAAGGAATTTTCCACCAGCCACTTCTAAATGAAATAAGATGTCCTCAGTCAAAAGACTGAAATATTGTGATTAATAGATATTACTGCTCTCATAGTGCTTCCACAAAGGAAATGACCTACCTGGACTTTGATGAAGCAAAGAGTTCATGCCAAGCTCTCATTTTTAATTTATTAGACAAATCAAAGCTCTAATAAGGGAAAGTAGCATAATTTATCCAAAGTCTAAAAGGTTTCCAATTTTCCACCGTATGAATCTAGAAATGACCTCACCCTCTGTGTCACTGAATCAAATAACTATCCCGAGGCACTCACTACATAGCTCCTATTGCATGCCAAAGACGTTCCCAAGCAGTTTGGCTGTGTGAAAAATCCCATCGTGCAGGTTGCCATCCCATGTTGTAGGTAGCACTGAGACACAGAGAGGATGAATGACCTCTCTGATGAACCAGCTGTTGAGCTGAAACCAGTTGAAACTCAGTCTTTCTTAGTTACTCGACCAGCTTGCAGTACTGTGCTAGACTGTACAGTATGGCATGGCCTCTCCAGTACTGGATTCTCATTAAGTTCCCAAATTACATATGCATATACAAGGGACCTGGTTGCTAGTTATCTAGGAGCATGGGTAATAAATCATTCATACAAGGGCCAAATGCTGCCAATAGATGTACATATTTTCTCTGGTCAATACAGTGCTTTAAAATAATTTAAATTTGAACATACATTGGACCAAGCATTCCTATGTAATTGACCAGTGATTCTACCACCTTAAAATACTACCTACCTAGCCTTATAGGCACCTAACTTTCATTTTAGAATAAATAGCTCATGCAGCATTACATGACGTGTCCTTCCAGGCATGTAAACTTGGGCTTATACTGAACAACTCTTCTGAAGCTAATGATGTTTATCTGACGAGCATTATTCAAAGCTGAACGTTAAACCTGCATAATTATCGGCGTCATCTCTTGGCTAAGCAAGTGATGTGAGGCCACAGAGATGCCATTCGGTTTCTCTGTGAGTCACTTTCAGTATTTTCAAAACAAAAGAAATTTCATCTATAAACTGTCTTGGTATTTTAGGGAAAATAGATAACTAGAAGGAGAGTTGCCCTTTTTAACTAGTGGCTGTGTAATGTTTACCACCACTGTCACAGGGCCGCTCATTTAGGGCAGAAGAACAAAGACATCCAGCCATCATACAGTTAAGGAAAACTGTTACAGGCTGCAAACAGTGCACAAAATAACTAATTCCCTATAAAACAGAGACATCAGATGAATTGTTCAAGTTGAATTTGGACTGAACCTTAATATGTGTGCAGATCACAATGGATGAAATAAAAAGAAAAGTTATCCTAAGCAGGGGTATCTTAGAGTTTGGGCAAAGGTGGTGTGAGGCTTTACCTACTAGTTAGTTCAATTAATATTCCTCACACAATTAATATTCCTCCTCTTAGAGCCATGATCTGACTTTTGTTTGGTGACCAGGTTCTAGACATAACAACTGTGTCCCCATGATTTCTCTCCAGGGGGAAGAGGCACTGCAGGTCTTGGTGGCATAGGAGGTCCTTATCGCTTGGATGCAGGCCACCCAGTGTATCAAGTCTCTGAGGTCGAGAAAGATGCAGTTCCTGAGGATATCAAGAGAGCTGCAAGAGAGATGGCCCAGAGAGCGTTTCAGCAGAGGTGAGTGTGCCTTGTGCATCTAGAGCAGTGCAGGTGAGTAGTGCGAACATACACACACACACACACACACACACACACACAGCTAAAGTCACAAGGACAGTGTCCTAGGATGATACTGAGAAAGGCAAAATCTCTGGGCTAACATGAGACAGGGCCTATACTCATTTAGGGTTTGGAGATAAGTGAAGAGCCTTGTCAGCAGGTTGAGCCTAGAAATTCAAGCCAAGTGAGCCTTCAGGTTTCAGATGCGCCGCCATGGCTGCTTTGGGCTACTTGGATTGGCCCCCACTAGAAAGGAAGAATCCACAGGGTATTTTACTAAAAGTGAAAGGTCCCAAGGCAGCAGGGAACACCCTTTCACACTGAGGAGCACGGAGGGGGAACACCCTTTCACACTGAGGAGCACGGAGGGGGAACACCCTTTCACACTGAGGAGCACGGAGGGGGAACACCCTTTCACACTGAGGAGCATGGAGGGGGAACACCCTTTCACACTGAGGAGCACGGAGGGGGAACACCCTTTCACACTGAGGAGCACAGAGGGGGAACACCCTTTCACACTGAGGAGCACAGAGGGTTAGAGAGCAGATTTGCATTTCTGTGCTCAGTGGAAGGAGCTGGGGCAGCCAGACAAAAACATGTTGAAGAGTATGTGAGTTACGAAATTCCTCCCACGTAGAACATCTGGTATGGTATTACATGCCGTGCTTTCACATCCTACAAGTAAACAGCAGAGAACAATAGAGACAAGAATGCAGGTCCAGCCGCCACACCCTCAGGAAAGCCTGCAAGCTTTCAACCCTGTGGTACAGCAGGTAAACTGGGCAGCGTTGCCCTCAGCCTTGGCACCGACTTCCCTGGAACCGTGGACAGCTGCTCTGTCCTCACTGTGCCATGTTGCATCCGTGGAAACCCTCAGAGGCTGTGAGACTGGAAAACTTTTGGGGATCAAAGTATTCATTTCTCAAAAGATGTGGAAGAAGGTTAAGTCATAATGACAAGTCTTATTAGAATTAAAATTGTTCAACATCTCATATGAAAAATAAAGCTTCCTTTGAGAAAAAATAGAAATTAGGCATGTGTCATTCTCCTCTTCAATTAGTGAAGGGCTGTAATTGCCACACCCCAGCCCTCGCAAGTAATTATCCAGTCTGAATTTGCCTATGTGGTCATACAGAGTGCCCTAGCACACGAGCGTGTACAGGAGTCAGGAAGCCTTCACAGTGGCACTTAGCCATGGTAAGCCAAGAAGATGACTCTTCTCTGACTGCCACTAGAAAAGAAGGCCTATCAGGACACTATTAAGAACCTATAGGGAAAGCCAAGGATCACCTGTGCTCCTAAGACAACTGAATGTACTGATTATAGGAGAGGGGACCATCCCGGTCTCTTCAGACCCACCCGTGAGGTGGTGAAAGGGGGGATTCAGGCAGGGTATGAGAAGGAAGAAATGAAACACACAGAGATCCTGGGAAAGATGGCACAGCAAAACAAGAGCAAATGCTACCTTAGAACTGGCCTTCGGAACCCACTGGACCAGTGTCTACTTAATACTGCCCAAAATTTGTCTTTAACTTTTTATTATGGACCTTTTCAAGCCCAACTATAAATAAAAAGAAGCATATGATGAACCCTGTGGACCCCTGCCCCCATACCATTCCCATTCTCCACTTTGGATTGTTTAGAGCTAATCCAAGATATTATCTCATCTTGTCATAAATATTGCAGACTGTGTCTCTACACACGAGAACTAAATAAGACAGAAATCCCGCAAATCCACTGACACACGTTCATTTTTATGGTAGTCATTCTTTACTATCATCTTGATTACAGAATGAGTCATATCGACAGTGAGATCAGGTCCGGATGATTTTACAGCATCCTGTATCTTGTCTCCAACACTGACCACTCTCCCTCATCTTACAACTTGTGGGAGGGATTGCTTCTCCTCTCCTCTGTAAGTTCCAGGAGGACAAAGCCTGGAGTGGGGCAAACACTCACAGAATGAGTAACACGCATGTGCGTGCAGGTGCCAGCTCTCACTGTCAGTTCTTGTCCTCGGTGTCTATGATGAACTGACTAAGCAGTCCTCACCATTAATTAGAAGTCTTCCCTGGTACAAAGGACCACCCCACGTCATTCACAGCATTCAGTCAGCATTGACTTAAACCAAATATTAGCCCTGCACCTCAAGAATTGATCAATTGAAGCTGACTAACAGGGACACAAGCCTAAGACTTATCCATCACGTACAGAAACATATGACATCAGGCTAGTGGGGACAGGGAAGTGTTCACACTCTGCTCAAGCACACTTGGAAAAGCTGTGTAGTGGGCCCCCGCTGTGGAGACTGCACCCACCACCATTGCATAAGTAAGCAGCCTCACACAGGAGATCTCAGCTTGTATTTGCTCCCCTCCTCATATGTGAATCAAATTATAGTATTTAAGTCTCACCTATAGAAGAAGTAAAATAAGGACCAAGATTCCCAGACTCTTACATAATGATAAACACACCCTTTAAACATGCACCACAACAGCATGCAGTTTGTCCACACTGACTCCGAGGCTAGTCTAACCCAGAGGTTAAAGATTCCTGCTTTATTCTCTCATTTCTTGCTTCAGTCTTCAATGCTCAGAATGTATTATCCACTGTGAGCATCCTCTGAGTGTTCTAGTGAAGGCTGACATAACCCAAAATACAATTTCCAGATTTCCTCATACTTAAATTAGTCTGGGATGTCAGGAGTACACAGTGATCACCCTAGAGATGGCTATAAAGCTAGAGCTAACTCTGATCTCTCCCAAGGCCACTCTGCTCCAGGCGCTTACCAGCTGCCTGAGTCCTCTTCTCTGTGTGTATTCCTTCCCTCTTCTGGTTCCCTTCCCACCTACCATGCTCCAAGGACAAGCTCTGTCCACACATTTCCCAATTGGTGCTGACCTGAGTTCTTTGAAAAAGTGCATCTTGACTTCCTAGACATGAGGTGGTATGTGGCATATCCTACAGTGTTCATTGTGCCCTGCTTCTGTCCCCTAAAACTTCTGATATAACCTAACCTAGTGAAACTTACAGAGATTTCAGACTGAAAACTAAACAGAAGAGGTTTTGTTAGGAGGCAAAGTCTCACACACAAATTCCTTTTTGTTCTTTAGAGCAGACAGTTAATAGGATTTAGAAGGGCATCTTGGCATGTCACCTTGAGGGGGCGGCATTGGCTATTATAGTGGCCTTGTCTATATTTGCCTCTTGATAGCCAGTGCTTTCAAAGTATTACATAACAGCATGTATTGAGTGTCACTGTGTATCCGGCACTGTGATGTGTATTGAAGACTCAAAAAGTAAGATGTGATCTTATTACATACACTCATGGAGCCCTGAGCTTCCACCGTTCTGATTATATTTTTCCCAGTGTTTTGTCTAAGAGTGAAGAATAGAAACCATTCATTCTCCCTCATTTGAGGGAGGGATATGTGTACTTTATATGTAATTTCAGCTACGCATATAGGTTCTTTGCCTACACATACATACATACACACACACACACACACACACACTGAAACAGTTGTCATGCATACTTAGGCTTTTGAGAGATGGATTCCATATTTCTGATCCTGGTATCATCACCTTTAATATTTATAGACATGCACAGAAATGAATGTTAAATTAATGCACTGTGGCTATCACACTGGAAAACACAAGGCCATTCTCTTACAAAGAGATCTCCCTGCTTAAGGATTAGCTTTAGGTGGCTGTGCTCTGCTTCGATTTTAAATTAAGTATCTGTGAGGCCAAAAGGCATCGGGTCTCCAGGAGCTGCAGTTACAGGTGGTTGTGAGCCATCTGGTAGGACTGTTTGCATAAGAGGCGTCACCATATATGATATACAGTTGGGGCTTTCCCTTTGTCCTGGGGACAGTTCGTTCATCAATTAGCAGTGGTCTTTGAGCATTACTTTCCTTTGAATCTAGGGTCATCACTGGTGACATCATTTCTTGCTTTTTCTCCTCAAAGTCAGTATGAGTCACCAAGGAGTTGTTAAAGGTCCTGTCATTGTGTAAGCAAGTGTAACAGACCCACACAAACATGCATAAGCGGGTGTCGTCTCCCCACTTTGGTTTCAGACTAAAGGAGATCCAGATGAGCGAGTATGATGCTGCAACCTATGAGCGGTTTTCAAGTGCTGTCCAGCGGCAGGTGCATGCCCTCCGAGTCATCCTGGATAATCTGCAGGTAACCTTTCTCTGTGGGCTGAAAGAGGATTTGGGCAAAATCTGGACTTAGACCAAAACTGCTGGAGAAAGTTGTCTGAGCACTAATCAGCCAACCAGAAAGAGTCATTTCAAGGTTGACACATAAAGCTGTGAACTCAACCCTATGATTTTCTTACTGAAGTTCTCCAAGGGAAAATATCTGACCTCACCTTTTTCTTCCTGTTCAGGAAGCAGTAATTTTACCAATGACCCTCCCAGACAGACAGTGACTTCCTGACTCCCCTCAGGGAAGATCTGTGAATATCTCACCTCTCCTGGAAGTTCACAGATAGAACCCTCTCTCCCTGTAAATCATTCTACTATTCTACTGCCACTGAAGAAGTGGGGGAGAAAGATTAGATCAGTCAGGGTGTGCTTTCTCTATGTCCCCAGCCACCTCCTCTTCCTACCTTCCTCTCACCCTGTATTGCCCCAGCTCCTCGCTGTTTCACAAGGCTCTCAGTGCCTCAGGACCAGTGGGCACTGGTACAGCTTTTTAAAATATCAAGATACTTCAATATTTCCTAAGTAGAAACTATAATTTCTGTCCAGTATATTCCATAAATGACACATTAAATCCAATTATTTTGTCAAAAGAGACCAAATCATCATTTTAGGGGAAGGGTGGGGTAAGAAGCCCTCGCCTGCACTGAAGTCTTGTGTATCCTTCCTGTGGAGTGCTTGACTTTGGTTCCCTTCCACTCACTCTTTGTCTTTATTACCGTTTTTTCAGAGGGATGCTTATCATGCTTTGTTCGATAGTAGAGTGTGGGATGCACGTTTAATCTTCTGTTTTAACAAAACTCAGAGTTTTTATTTATCATTAGTTTTTACTATGTATCTGTGTATCTGTATGAGTGAATGCCATGTGTATGCAGTGTACAGAGAGACCAGAAGAGGGCACTAGATCCCTTGGAGCCAGAATTTAGGCAGTTGTATGTCACCTGATGTGGGAACAGAACTGGCTTCTGGAAAAGCACCTGGAGTGTTAACTGATGAGTCATCTCTCCAGCCTAAGTCTTCATGTTTAAAGATCTAATGTTCACTGTCCAGGGAAAAGAGCTCCTCAGATGATTGACCTGATACCTGATTTTTAAGTCTAGCTGAGGCATTCATCACAATCTTCCCAGGCCCACGGAATATGGTTATTGTGCCCCTGTTTTATAAAGAAGGAAATTTAAGGCTACACAGACAATGCAGTTTCCTGGGTTGTGTCTGAGCCCAAGTCATTTTCCTGTTATCTGCCAGGTCCCTGTCACCTTCCTCAACCCTGTCGGTCCATCCCACTGCAGACTTTGATTTGGTCCCTTCCTGCATCTTCAGTTAATCCTATGTGACTCTGAGTAACTAAAACCCTCCAGCTGTTTTGACATTGCTGTGTAATACCAGTAACCATGGGTGTTTCCTCAGTGAGTGTACAAAGTGTGACCAGAAACTGGCAAGATGGTTTTCCAGAGCTCAGCTTTAGACCCACACAGATTTGATTCCATTCAGCATGGACTAATGCTTTTATAATATCCAATAGAAATGAAATTACTGGAAAATGTTATTAAAATTGAATACAAAATACAGGCCCCTGGGGGGGGGGGTCAGGGACTTTGAGGCTCAGGCTGACTGCAGACTCGCTGTCTTCCCACCTCTGCCTCCTCAGTCCTGAGATTATAGGCACACCCAACAACTCCTAGCTTCCTGTTCCGGTTTTCTCTTAGCTAGAAGATATGAACTCCACTGCTGGACAGTGGTGGCTTACACCTTTAGTCCTAGCACTCAGGAGGCAGAGACAGGCAGATCTCTTAAGTTCGAGGCCAGCCTGGTCTACAAAGCAAATTCTAGGACAACCAGGGCTCTTCCACAGAGAAATCCTGTCTTGAAAACCAAACAAACAAAAAGATAAAAACACCAAATGTCCTTGTCCAATTGCTGCACTAGTTTCTAAATGCTTTCTGTCACTCTGTGACCTGTGACATCACCGATCAGTAACAGACATTTGCAACCTGGAAGCAGGTTTGAAGCCATCATCTAGACACCTGGAGAAAGGACTCACTTGGCCACCAGGCCTTGTGGAGAAGAACAGAGTCCAGAATGACTCAGGCTCAGTGTGTGGGGCATAGGCCTGGAGGCCGAGGACAGTGGGAGAAAACATGAGAGAGCAAGACTGGCTGTATTGTGACACCTCTGAGGAGCCAGAAAGGAGCCTGGAAAAGACTGATGCCTTTCTTTCTGTCTTCAGATTGTGGCACAGCCATCTGGGAGAAGGACTCTAAGAGAAAGATAGAAGCCAGGAACCAAATCATGAAGTAATCTGAATAATTCAGATGAGAAATGACAGGAACTTGACTAGGGAAATTAGTGTGAAAATGGAAGAAATGAGACAAGCTCAGGTTCAGAGGAAGGACATGGGGACAATGCCTGAGGGACAGGAGGATAGTGCCTGAGGGAGTCCTGGAAGACAGGAGTAGGGGACTTGGAAGGAAAGACTTTCGAAGAAGGTGGCTGTTTCCCCTGGACACTGGTGTGTGTTCCATTCCTGGGACACCTAACAACAATGCAGGCATGGCATTTAAAGGATTTAATATACAAGCCTGTGTTCAGGAACAGAGTTGGGTCAACATGGAGCTACATGCCTCTATGGATGTCTGTGTCTGTGTCTGTGTCTGTGTCTGTGTCTGTGTCTGTGTCTGTGTCTGTATCTGTGTATCTGTGTCTGTATCTGTGTCTGTGGTTCTGTTGTTGCTGGTACTGGGGTAGCCCAGGCCAAGAGAGAGGAAAGGTGTCTTAGTTAGGGTTTTACTGCTGTGAACAGACATCATGACCAAGGCAACTCTCATAAGGACAACATTTAATTGGGGCTGGCTTACAGGTTCAGAGGTTCAGTCTATTATCATCAAGATGGGAGCATGGCAGTGTCCAGGCAGGCATGGTACAGGAGGAGGTGAGAGTTCTATATCTTCATCTGAAGGCTGCTAAAAGACTGGCTTCCAGGCAGCTGTGAGGAGGGTCTCAAAGCCCATGCCCACAGTGGCATCCTTCCTTCATCAAGGTCACACCTGCTCCAACAAGGTCACACCTACTAATAGTGCCACTCTCTGGGCCAAGCATATTCAAACTACTACAGAAGGGTAAGATTAAAAAAAAAAGTCTGCATTTCAAGGAAGCCAGCAAAGAGTTCCTTCCCTCTTCTTAGCACATCTGTAACTCATCTGTCAGTACAATGTCAACTTTGTGTGCAAGCCAGACAGAGTCCTGACTTCCAGGCTTTTGAACAGTGGCTATGTATCCAGGCTGTAGAACCATGGTTATCTAACCTAGTCCTTGCCAGGTGTGGTTAATCTTGATTGTCAATGTGACTGGTCCTTAAGTCAACTAAGGCAAGCCTCTAGGCACACCTATGGGGGACTATCTTGATCGTATGACCCAAGGTGGAAGACTCCCCCGCTATGAGTAGCACTGTTTCTGTCTGGAATTCTGAGCTGGGGGAGCAGAGGAGCTGGGCTAGGCAGTAGCAAGTAGCCGTTGTCCTCTATCATAACCAGCTGCTCGAGGCTCCTACCAGGATAGCCCCCTTGCTTTGATGGAGTGTACCCTTGACCTGTACCCATAAGGCGCTTTCATCAAAGTATTTTACCACAGCAACAGGAAAAGAAATGACACTGAGTAACACTAAAGTAGTTAAAAAGTAAAAAGCTACATTTACTATTTTACTAAAAAATAAATTGTAGAGCCTTTCTGTGCTGCCAGGGACAGGTCCATATGGCAGTGTTCTTCATTCCCATTGTTACTTAAAGGGAACCTTACACAGTGTCTGTCTGGAGCCCTCGATGTCTTACAATGAAGGAGGAGTATGTCCTCAAATTCCTTGCTAAAGGAACGCTTTTAGGTGGCACAACCCTGACTTTCAAATGGAGCAATACGTCTGGGAAAGGAAAAGTGATGGTATCTACAATATAAATCTGAAGGAGGACCTGGGAGAAGCCGTTGCTTTCAACTTGGGCTGTGATTGCCATAGAGAACCCTGCCGATGTCAGCATCATCTCCTCCAGGAACACTGGCCAGTGAGCCATGCTGAAATTTGCTACTGCCATTGGAGCCTCCCGTTGCTGGCTGCTTAGGGACCTTCACTAACCAGATCCAAGCAGCCTTCAGGGAGCCATGGCTTCTAGTGGCGAGTAATCCCAGGAATGACCACATCCCTCACAGAGGAGTGTTGTGTCAACCTGCCCACCACTACACAGTGTAAAACAGACTCCTCTGTGCTCCGTGGATGTTGCCATTTCATGGGACAACAAGGGAGCTCACTCAGTGGGTCTGACGTGGTGGATGCTGGCCCAAGAAGTATCCACTTGTGTAGCACTGTCTCCCATAAGGACCGGTGGGAGGTTATGTCTGATGTTTGCTCTACGGAGACCTGGGGAGGTAGAGGAGGAGGATCAGGAGCAGGAGCAGGAGCAGGAGCAGGAGCAGGAGCAGGAGCAGGAGCAGGAGCAGGAGCAGGAGCAGGAGCAGGCTGCTATTGAGAAGGAGGAATTTCGAAGCTTCTGGTCCCTGAATGGCAAAGACACTCCTGGAAGGCATAAGGATCTAGACTTTTAACTGCACAGCGATGAGTGAAAACGGAAATGAGGGCTCCAACCAGGCTGCCAAGGCCGATAGCAATACCCAAACTCCGAGTAACTGGAAAGGTGCCCACCCCAAACTCAGGGATCAGTTGAAGAAGAAGTCCTCCAAAAAGGTTTTCAAAATACTGCTGAAGAAGATGTTGAAGTTGCATCATGTCGTCACGGACCAGTTCTTGCAGTGGACAAGCCAGCAGATAGAGTGCCTCTCACTAGGAGATCAGCAACGTACAAGAGCCTCCAGGAATCAGGAAAAGAAGATGGGCCACTTACTGTCTCAGATTGTCAACCTTGTATGGTCTAATACTGTAAAGAAACTGAAGTTCCAAGTACCTCTCCCTTGCTCGGACTCTAGATGTGCCATCAA